CTGAATGACAGCTGGAATTAACAAGCTGGGTAAAGGGGCTTTGCAGGTTTACTTTGACCCAGACCAATGCCAGGACCAAGATCAAAGCAAGGCCAGACAGCTGGGTTGGCACAACTGGGACAAGAGGGACTTGCTGCCAACGAGCCTCTGCTTGTGAGATCAGCCTGCCAAGCACCACATGACAGCATGTCCAAGTTAGGTTCTCCCCATGTTAACAGGTTTTCTGGATTTCCACGTCCCAGGTGGCTTCAAAACATATCAAAGTACAATCTGATGCATGTTGCAGCCACTGTTCTCCTGCATCATCCCACAAGCAACTTCAGCACTCATCCCAGAACACGTCATTCAGAAGGCTCATGTCTCATCCAGATGAATACAAGATTGGCCAGAACAGCCTATGGATAATACAGCTTCCTTTCTGCTGCTTAAGCACCTGGCCAAACCACTCCAGGACTGAACAGACAGTAAAAGCCTTAGGAGGACGTTGTGAGCATATTTGGGAAGGTATCAGAAACAGGACTCCTCCTGGGGAAGACATCAGTGCTGCACCAGCCATACAACCACACAGAACAAGTACGAAAATCTGCTTTTCTGAGGGCAGCTACACAAAACAAGAATATCCTCCAGGCTTTTCTCAAACAAACCAGACCACCACTTCATTCTCAAAGATCAATTACTGTACATTAAAAATCTGTATGCTGTAATGGAGTTGTATCTGACTGAAAAATCTGTTACACTTAAAAAAAAAACTGCACTAAAGTTATTCCTGGAAGTTTATCCCATAGTATGTCATGATGTCCAAACACTAAAATGTTTTTGAAGAAAAAACATTTTGCATTCAAGAAGTAATACCACTGCATGCTTCAAGTGGGTAGAAGTCAGGCAAACAACTAGGATGAGAGCATTTCTGACACCCACTGCACCAGCACACACACCGCAAAGGGTGAATTCCTGACAGCTTTTATTCTCCCCCTCCCCATAAGTGACAATTTCCATAGCAGATCTGCCTATAGGGTCAAATGTATGCCAGAACAATAACAACTAATTGATTTTCTGGATTAGTGTGCAAGTTCTCTGGAGAAGCCTCTGGCCTCTCAGACCACTCCTTTGCTGGTCTCACCAGTTCTCCCAGGCAACGATTAAAGAAAGAGCGACTTGTCTTCAGATGGCACACAAGCAGATGATCACATCCCATGGATACTCAGCCTAAATGTCTCCCAACACCAGTTAAAACTCAATGGTCAGACAATCTGTCTCCCATCTACTTTTGTTATTGGGCACCAGGAGAGCATCTATACCACCAGGGCACAGACAGATTTTATCACAGGTGAAAGACAACCCAACCCAACTGTGGGCTGTCCCAAGTTCACCGCCACCACAACTCCTCAAAAATCAATGGTTTCCCTGACAAAACATGGGTTCCGTGCACAGACCTTCACCCAGAAGACACGGTGGACAGATGTGTGCTTCTCACCTGGCAGCTGTTGCACTGTTTGCTTATCCAGTGCTTTGGTCTTCTAAGAAATCAGAACAAAAGCAAAGGCTAACTTCTGTAACCAAAGTCAGAGCTCTTGGACTCACCAGTACTCGTGAGGTGAAATATTGTGCAAAAGCCTCCCAATAAATAACATGCTTATGTAGGCCATGCCCTCAATCTGGACTTCCACTTCAGAACATTATAATTAACATCTTCCAACAACCAAGATAGACAGGAAGTAGAAAATGGTAAGCCAAAGTAACTTCTTGGATGAGCAGCATACAAGTAGCACTCACACAAATCGATTAAGTTAAAAATTGATCAGGAAAGTTAAACAAAAACTATCCCAATTAAAAGAAAACCTCTCACTGCAGAGATCAGGTTCTCTCTAATATATGTTGATACAGTCACCATGGATTGCAACCGTTAACCCCTCTAGAGATGCACAAGGGATGAGAAATACAGACTTAGAGGAAGAACATTTAGCCAGTAGCATTTTATAAGAGAATTTTTAGGAAGCAGAAATCCTTCATATCCTTCATCTTATCTTTCCTCCCCAGGCTTAGGTTTGGTGAGGATCCAAATGCGACAAATCTCTCTTCTCTAGCCCTAACTGCTTCGGATTCTGTCCCTTTCCTAAAGCAGCACACATTTAACAAGCTGTTCACTCTCAGGAACATTAGGACAGAGAAGAAATCTCCCCCACTCACCAAAGCAGCAATTCACATACAACTATAGGAAAAAAAAATAACACATCTTGCTTGGGCTGCTGTGACTTCTCCATCACTGCAGAAAGGCCCTGGGCTCCTTTACACACTGGCTACTGGCTGAAAGTGCTTTGGCACACATGTGGTGTCACCTTGAGAAACAAGAAGCAAGTCCACTCCAGCACTGCCCATGTGTAGCCTACAAAACCAAACAAAATTAGTGATCATAACACTTTAAAACTAGATAGACCCATGAAATGATCAGAGATGCATCTTGGGGATGTAATCTTTGGCAACACTTGCATTTTGGCAAAAGCCCCAGAGCAGATCTGGTTATAGAATATATCACTTCTCCACAGAAAATAAGCTATACCTGCAAAAGCACTTTTTTTTTTTTCCTGGCAGAAGCTGCATCTGCACCAGGAAAGCCTGCCAATACCCTTTCCCCAACAAGCCTCTTCTAGCTCAGACCATTTATAATGATGACTTTGCAGTTTATTTACCATATTACACTCATTTAGCCTCAGTTAGTTCCACAACCAGCAAAACAGAGCTCCAGCAACATCCCATTTTACAAGCCAGAATTTCTTTTCAAGAAGCGATTTTGCCTGTTCACACCTCAAACAGAAGCCACTGCTAAAGAAAGGACATTCTGGAGGCATGAAGGGTTTGGCAATCCATTTGTTCATTCTCATTCACATCCTCTAAGAACACCAAACTGTAACCGCAGCCTCCATCTGCTGCACTTACTACCTGAGCACAATTGAGTTGGAGAAGCATTCTACTGGGATTCAGCACAACAGACACAAAACACAGAGCAGTGGCAGAGAATAAGAAACCACTCCCATTTTTTTCCCATCATTTTCTCATTTAAGGAAATTACACTCTGGTGCCTGCAGATGACAGATCCCAAACATCCCCAAGTTGCTCCTTACACAGTTTCAGTATGAGGCATCTCAAAAAATCAGCACCAGGTCTTTGCACTACATTTGCCTACCAGCAGCTTCCTGGTAGCACCATGAAACCATCTGCAGCTTACCTCCCCGACTGAAGATAAATTATCTTTCATTTCTTAAATGCAACAGTTCGAGACCTGTATCAAGCTATACTTAATCATCATTGTCTTACCTAACTACACTTACATTTACTGTGAGCTATCTTGGTTAAACATAAAAATATCTTCAATTATTAATTTCAGCTCTTAGCAATACAAATAAGGAAGTTTCAAATACATCATTTTTCCAAGTAAGCTTAAAAAACGAGCATCAGAAGAGTCTTTACAGAATACGCTAACGCACATAAAATATGCATTAAATAATAAATGTTATTTAAATAAAATAACTATAAAATGGAAAAAGAAAGCCTCAAGTTGCTCAGAGAGCCTTTCAAGTAATCACAGAAGTATTATTAATTACACAAACGAGGACATTAAACATGTTTGTTCATTGGATGTTCTCAGTAATTAGAAATTGTTACTTAATACTTCTGGATGTGAGCACCAGGTAGAATTACACTTTGAAGACTTCCACTTCACACAAAAACCAGTTCCACGTTAATGGCACCTATTGGGCTCACTTACTGAGGAATGCAGAGCGAGAGCGAGAACCTGCATTCTTCATTTTACAGTAAGAACTTACTGCCTGGGCTTACTGGAGTTTGCAAGAGCTCCCAGAAGAGGAACCAAACAGCTGACTATATGCTGGAGTGTTCTTCCCAGCTCTTTTTTAATACAGTCAGCACTCAATCTAGCTTTGAAATACACTGACTGGCAAAGCTCTGTCACTCCTGAGTTCCTATTCTGGCATCTCATGGCACCCTGGGAGCCTTCTCTTTGGGTCCCTCGAGACATAGATCTGACACATGCTCACTTATTCTAAAAACAAAGTTGTTAATTCTTCATATTTCTAGACTACTCCCTCAACCTCCCTGGTTCTCAGATCCCAAAGACTCAACAGGATATAAATCATTAAGACTTCAGTTATTCTTCTCACCCTGTGTCGCAAGGGAGGCCATTCACTCATGAGAATTCTCCTATTCCCCCCAAATCCCTCTCCACATTTGTTTGCCAGACAAAGGAACACTGATTGCTTTCCTATTTTGTTACACAACATACACAATCCCAAGTTATCAGCTGCAGAGGAGATCTGAGCGTACAACAGTCATCCAGAGCACTCTCAGAAGTTACATGTGTACCTAGAACTCTATACAAACTCCAAATTTGCTATCAAAGTTGAGCCTCAAGCTCACACAATTTCTTTTGCTGCCAAGCATTCAACCACTATGACTTCAGGTCAGGAAAACAGGACAAAGTGACTGCACAGGGTCAAACAGCAAACTGGCTGATGGCTGGGGAGAAGCAGTGCATTTAACCACTGATCCTATCCCTTACCTGGAAGGAAATGACCAAAAGAAGTACTTCACTCTGTTTCATCCCCATCCGTGCATACATCAAAGCAGCACAGGAACAGTAGAATCAAGTGTGCTCCCCTGTGATTTTTACATCACAGGCATGTTCAGATACCAACTACTTCCTCTCTGAAGAGGTTTTGCTCAAGCAAACAGGCCAGCTGCACTCGGTCAGGGCAGCTCATGCAGATTCCTCAGCACAGCCCTTCAGAGGCCAACCCAGCTCACAGCACCAGGTAGAAGTGAAAACCTTCAGAATCATTTCAAGTTTCCCTTTTTTATTTATCTGGGAAGAAAGTCTCTTGCTGCTCTCTCCTTAAGAACAAGCAGCCTTAAGTTTGAAATCTTTGAACTATGACCCAAGGAAGTTATTTTGCCAGCTGACTATTTCCAGGCACAACTATACAAACCCTTTTCATTCTGCACTCAGAGTGTATTCTCCACTCCAGAACAACTTCAACTGTGCTGAGGCAGAATCCTCTTAGCTGGAGCTCCTGCTCCATCCTGCTCAGGTGCTGGAAAAGAGTTAAATCTTGGCATCCCTTCCCTGGTGAAGCAACAAACAAAACATTATTAGAGAACATTATTGATAGCAAGCATAGGGAACTTTCCTCATATGCAATAAAGGCAATAAACAAATAAACAAGCTTTTAATCCCCAGTGTTGGAGATTACCACTCTCCAATTCCCAAGCTCCTCAAAGCAATCAAAGCTGTATCCCTCCCCATATCAAGAGGCACGTTTTTTCACGGTGCCCCAGAAGGTAGAGGGTACTTCAGCCCCCCAGATAACCAAGTGAGTCGGAAGAAAGCCCTTTTCTCCTTTGCATTTGAGTCACAGCCACCTTCCCAGACTGTCTGGTTTTGCAGCAAGGTGGCCAACGAGGCACTGCAATGCAACCCACTTACACAGGGCACAGCAACGTGACCAGGGCAGGAGGCTATGGCACAAGAGAAAGCAGCAGTATTTTTCCTGAAAAAAGTCTCTGAATGGCTTGTTAGTCTCCCTCTTGTTCCAAATACTGTTGAAAATACCTAGACTCAGAATTTGAAATTATTCCTGATGTGTCCAAGAGTTCTCAGCCTCTTTAGGGTGCAGATACCTGTGTGACCCACTGAGCTCACACTGAATAACAACACTGCACACCACAGCAAACTACCCTGAATACCAGACCTGGTTACTCAGCAGTACTGTGTCATGTAAACAAGGGACCTCATCTGAAACTGTCAGAGTTCTGTGGACATCTCAGATTCTAAAAGGCCCCAATTTGGGAAGCACAAACAATGTTGAGCCAAGTTACACATGAAGATCAGCTTCTTAAGATGCCTTCAATAGCAATTCTCAAAGCGTTCATTTAGCCAGTAGCCATCACAGCTCCAGATCAAAAGCTAAAAGCAAGCTGAAGAACAAAGCAGGAGCCAGGCAAACTCAAGGCAACATTCCCAACTAAAAAAAAAAACAAAAAAAAACCCAGCACGGTGATGATTTCAGTACCAGAATTTCCACCACCAAATTAAGAAATACAATTTTGCTCTGGCTCTGACATCAGTCCCTTCATGCTCCTACACCAGCTCCTTCCTCAAACACGCAGCATCTGTATTCCAGGCTGCACTCAAATGCACCATTTGGCATTCCCAAATAGCTGTGAACCTGCCGTGTGCATTTTACAATAAGTGAGGCTGCAATCTCTTGCAGCTGCAGAAGCTAGAGTGATTTCACGAAATTCAACAGCACTACACACCCTTATAGATACAAGCCTCCAAACATTCTTCATGGACTCCAAATAACACAGCACAGACAGCCACAAACAAGAGAAAACACCACCTGCACTATCCTCAGATCTCATGTTAGCACAACCCTGAAAGGAAAAGACTCTTCAACATTGTTTTTGCATGAAGGCTTGTGACTCACAATTACAGCAGGAGCACAGGTCAGAGTGTAGAGGTCGCTCCCTCCAAGCAGGCTCTTACAGCTGGCACCAACTCTCCTCGTTTGCTTCATCTCACCGTGGAGCAAGAGGAAAGAGCTTGTTTTCCAGAGACCTGGAAATGATTCAACAGGTGGCAGGGGGACCTGCAGAGGTGCAGTATGGGGAGCTGCTTCTCATTTATGAGCTTATCACATCAAACTGAAGCCCCAGTCCTCAGCTCTCATCTCAAGCAGCACTGTCAGACTGGAGTGCTGTGCACCACGCTCCCGAATCTAGCACAGCTCACCAGAGAGCACTGGGCAAGTAGGCCTGAAAAGACACAGCCCTCCCATGCCATGCCACAGCAACACAAAAAGCATCCTAAATTTGAGTTTGTTTCCTATTATCAGGTTTTAATTCCTGCAAGTCTAACACTAAGGAGTGGGAGCCCAGGATAAGTATATAGATGTGAGCTATTGTTTTGTATTTAATTATGCTTTTAACAGCCAGAAACAGTTCTTGTTTCACATCAAGGACCACAAACACTGCCACAACTTGCCCACCCCCAATATACAGCAGAAATGCAGCTTCTGCTTTGTGTGGCACCTGTGGTTCCAGAATTAAACTCACAGGGAATACCAGTGGCTGCAGCTACAATTTGTTTCTCTTCTCGTTTATAAACAAACATTTTAAAAGAGCTAAAAAAAGAACGAAGTGTTTTCAGTTTCATTTTGCAACTGCCCCCAAAACACGCCAGTCCACCCTGCAGCCACACTCCCACCAGAGCTGCCTGCTTTGTTGTGATTCCTGCACACTGGGGGAACAGAGCAGCCTGGCATCAGCTTTCACTCATGGCCAGCCATGAGATTTACATCTGGCCTAAGAGAAACAGAAAGCTAAAGTACAAAGCCAACGGGTCACTGAAGCACGAGGTTTAGCTTACTCTGGAGACTTCACAGATAGAACAGACTTTTCTACCCTGACATTCTGAAATTTGTAATAGATCTAAAAGAATATATATTATATTCAGAATTACAAGAATTGGCAGCCAGGGAACAGATAATGTCATTTCCAAAAGCCTCACAGTGATGGCTTGTAGCAGATTTCAGGAGCTCTTTGTCACAATGAAGTTTATTCCGTTCCTTGGAAACATTAAACACATTCCTCCAATAATGAAACACCTTATAAACGCCGTGTGACAGCACTGTGGAGTTTAACAAAGCATTTCCTTCCAGCATCATAACATTTAGGGTCCCAACTGGATTTAATCATCAATAACCAACCACACAGAATGAGAAGGCAGAGGCTGGCAAGCTCACCTGGTGCAGGCAGAGCAACAGACCCGAACATGAGCAGCATCAGCCTCCAGCGCTTCCTCCCACAGCCTCCTACCTAATGCTTGACAAGCAGCTTCAAGCACTCAGGGGTTTCAAGATGACATTTCTAACATTAAATACAGTCTACAGCACAGCCCTGCATGACAGGAGCGATTCTTGTTGCTCACTGGAAAGTCATTCCTATTTTGGACAACATATTTTGAGACATTGCCAATAGCACTGCATTACACCACTGCTGGGGAGACTTCCTAAGCTATAACTGGAATTCAGCACTTTCTGTCCAAGCAAGTGAGGCCAGTGTTTAATTAGATCGCTTTCCCCAAGCCACACTGGATTCAGCTCGCTGTAACAGAGCTGGATTTAGCCGCAGAGCAGCATTTGGGGATATCTGCACCTTACTAAGCCAAACAAGCACAATGTTGTAACTTCAGAGCGGTCCACAGTTTGGGCTCATTTCACATCAACACTTTTATCCAGCAAGGACATTTATTTCCAAAGCAATATCCTTTAAATAGGAACAAATATTCAGCACAGATGTTCTGATATTGCAGAATTTTGTTTAAAGTTTCAGCCACTTCAGAACTGCACCCTGATCATTTTCAACACTTACCCGTGACAAAGTCCAAAAGGAACACATGTTGTCAAGGGGCATCACAACGTCAAAGCCTCCAGAAAAGGGAGGCCAAAAGGGAAAATGAACCCAACTCACAAATACCAAAATTGCACAAACTTGTAACAGGGCGAAAACACAGAGCCAAGCAGGACTAGAGAGGCACTGAGCATCACGTGCTCTATTCAGGGTAGAAATAAACAGGCTATTCTAAACACTACCAAGTTTATTTTCAGAAAATCTACAGCAAAGATGAAATAGCAGTGATATATATACATGTATAAAGATGCAATGATGGTAGACACTTTTTGGACAATCCCTCATCCCCAAGTTTGGAGAGGAAAAATACAGGGAAACCATCCAACTGCAGGAAGACACCTCGCAGAAGACGAAGCCTTTTCATACCACCTCTACATCAAGGTTTTCACAGTTAAGTTATCCATTTACTTGGATAAAGATGCCAGAAATCTGCCCACTTACTCAGACAACAAAACCTTAAGTAACCCATGGAATGATTCTCTGCATTGTGTAATTTAAAGAAAGCAGTGCTCAGAACTGAGGTCGAGTTTTGAAATCTCTCTTAACCCACAAGGTTAGGGGGTGTACTAATATCCCTACTTTTGCACTTGGAGAAGAGCATGAGATGCACAATCAAATCAAATTATCAGCATAAATGCTAAATGCTTTGCAAAAGTCATCATTAAACACCTGAAAACTCACACTCTGACAAAAGAGAGCGAATGCAAAATATGCTGAACATCTGAGTCACTCACACTGAAACTGCCCAAGCTCACTGCGAGTTCAGCGGTCTTCGGAGGCCACAGGACAAAAAGGCACCAGTTTGGTGCTGAGCAGCCATTTTCATTACACACTACCAGCACAAATTACATGCTTCACAGCCAGGAAGTTGATCACAAGTCAGCTACAGCCTCAGCAAAGTCTTCATCACATCAAATCCCTGTCCTGAGAACTTCATGCTTTTCTTGCACAGCTTGGATTAGGGAAGTGGCAAAATGGATGGGCAAATAAATTCAACTCCTTCTACTAGTGCTTCTCCCAACCAATGAAGAGCTCTTGCAGGTCTGTGATTTGTGCAGGACAAAGGCACCCTGCACATGCAAGTTACATCTGCTGTGGCTTCCTTGCAGATGCTTCATGGCTCACTACTACCTTTCCTTTTCATTGCAACTGCAAAGCGATCAACTGAAAAACAAAAGCCTGCTTTATTAATTACTTGTGACCAGAAACCGGTAGTGCCACTGATGAGAGGGCACACACCTCACAGCCAAAGCCTCCAGGTATCTGGCACCTCAGCAGCAAGCAAGTTCCCAAGCACCACAACAGGCAGCCACAACCTTTACCATTTGATAACGAGAACCGAAGTGAGGTACACATGAACCGGCCACTCAGTACTAGACTGGAACAAGTGAATCACAGGGCTGCAACCAAAGATCCGCAGCAGGATCCTGAGCCAACGTGACTCCAGAAAAGGTTTAGTGAACCAGAAAAGCAGCAGCAGCAATCTTGGGTGGGAGCCAAAAGAAAGAAATATACAGAACAGAGCCCTGGAAGATTTCACAGCAAGCAACAGAAGTGAGGATGAGCAAATACTGAAGCACCAACTGAATTAGGTCCACGGACTAGAAGTAGAAGTAAGGTACCATTTCAAAGGAGTTTGGAATAACTGAATGTTTTTCTATCCTCTTCCAATGCATCATAGTGCCTAAGCTGACATTAGGTCCCAGGTTTACTCATGACATTCTAAACAAATTAGCTTTGTTCACTCTTCTAAACCAGAAATAACTACAGCAAATCTAACAGCGAGATCTACAGCAGGAGCCAAGGCAGTTCTGCAGATCAGCTATGTTCTGCAGAATCCCACGGAGCCGGCTGCGGCAGGGTCACGCCTCCCGGGGTGCAAGAAGAAAAGGATCTTTTCACCTTTATTGACTTCTGGTCACTAGCTCTGCTATCCTGAGGCCAAGCACTCAAGTTGTACAGCTCAGGGGCAGCATAAAGAAGAAAAGAAACCACAGGCCAGAAAACAAGAGTTTGTTTAATAAGTCAGCTCCTAAAGAACCCACAGGTAAATCCACCAGACCTAGGAAACACATGAACAGGATCCTGCTTAGCACTCCTCACCTGCAGAACATTTCCATCACTTCACTTAAGCAAACGTAGGTCAAACGGCTGTGCCTGTCCAACACAGCTCGTGATTATCACAGCTTTACTCATTAAATAGTCACCACCTTAATCACTACTTCAGTGCGAAAAACTTTAAGTTACCAAACGTCTGCATGTCTGCTTCCTGTTTGTGAGTTTTCATTTCCCTACATTAGGATCAATAACACGTCAGGACCCCGGGAGCACGGAAATAACTGCCCGTGACCAGGAGATCTTCCTTAGCTGCACGCTGGCAATCGGCAAGAGTCCTCACACAGCCCTACGCATACACAGCTATTATTAAAGCTATGAACTTTGACTTCGGAAGTGCCATTGACCAGTTTCCTACGCGAGCACCGGGGCCGTTGTTTGCACCAAGCTCCCATAAACTCGCTTTATAACACTTTAAAGCCGTTAAAGCGGCCGCACGCCGGGCAGCACCATTCGCCGGAGCTGCTCGCATTTCGCGCTGGAAGCGCCCGGTTTCGGGGCGCCGCGGCCACGAGTTAACACGGCGAATTTGATCCCCCCGCACCGCTCCGCGCCACATTCCCGGCCGAGGAGCAGCGCCGGCAATCCGCTCGCCGGGCCTCCGAGCAACGCCGCGTCAACCCGAACAAAAGGAAAGCGCAGGAAAAGCCGACGGCCGCAGAGCTGCGTGCGCCGGGGAGGCGTGCCGGGCCCGCAGCCTCGCATTTCTCCCCGGCGCGGGGCTCCGCGGACGGGCTGGTTTCATCGTAAGGCAGCGGCGCCGCTCGCAGCTCAACGCCCGAAGCCGAGCGCCCAGAAACGGGGCCAGAAGCCGGAGCTCGGAGGGGCTGCCGGCAGCCCGGCCCCCCCCGGGCGGCGGGGCGGAGGGCCGGGGCCGCGTTCCACCGCCCGCAACCGCCGCTCGGCACCGGCGCCCCCCCCGCAGCGCCCCGACGGCGCGGAGCCGCACCTGGATGACTTCGTTGACCTCGCGGATGCACTCCACCATGTGCTGCAGGATCTGCTCGGCCGTCAGCACCTCGTAGCGGTAGTCCTCCTCCTGCTCGGGGCCGCCGCCGCCGCCGGGGCCCGGCCCGCCGCCCAGCCCTCCGCCGCCGCCCGGGCCCAGCCCGCCCGTCTCGCCGCCCAGCAGCCCGTCCCGCTCGCCGCCGACGCGCAGGCCGGGCTCCACCAGCTCCACCTCGCCCAGGTCCAGGTTATCGTCGGGCTCGTCCTCCTCGTCGTCCTCGTCGTCCTCCTCCGCGCCGCTGTCCTCGCTGCACTCCTCGTCCTCGTCGAACTCGTAGTTGTAGCCCTCGTCCGAGTCCATGGCGAGGCGGTGAACTGGAGGCTCCCGCCCGCCCCCCACCCTCGCTCCCGGCCCCGCCGCGCCTCGGCCGCCTCAGCGCCAACAAAGAGACGCGGCCGACCCGCTCCGTCACCGCGCGCCGCGCACGCACGGTACGTCACGGCACGGAGCGTGACGTGCTGCGGCGTGACGCGCCGCGCGTGCGCGGCGGCCGCCATCTCCCTTCGCCCCGCCGGGAGCCATCTTGAGCGCGCGCCGCCCCGCTCGCCTCTTCCCGCCCGCCGCCGCCATCTTGGGTGTGGCGCGCCGCCATGTTGAGTGTGGCGCTGGGCCGCCTCGGCCCGCTGCCTGCTCGCGGTGGTGTGCGTGCTGCCGTTGTGCGGGGTGAGCGGGGAGAGTGTGAGGGGAATGTGGGGGACGTAGATAAAGACGTGAGAGGGGAGCGCGAAGGTAAAATTAAAGGGAAGTTGCAAAAATAACGTGGGGATCGTGAGGGAAATAGAGACGGCAGAGTAGAGAAATGTGAGGGAAAGAAACGAGGAAAGAAATATGAGAGAAAAAAATGAGGAAATGTGAGGGGAACGTGAGGAAATTGCTGAAAAAACGTGAGAAAAGCATGAAGGAATGTGGGAAATGGCAGGGAAATGTGAGAAAAGATGGGGAAATAGGAAAGTGGGAAGGAAAGAAATGAGGGAGTAATGGGAAGGCAATATGTGAGGGGAATGTAAAGGAAAGTACAACAAATGGCAGAAATAATGAGGGAGTGTGAGGGAAATGGGGAGAAATGTGAGGGAAACATTAAAGAAAATATGAGGAAATAGGAAAATGAGAAGGAAAGAAATGTGAAGGAAAAATGTGAAGGGAACGATGGAAATATGAGGTGAATGAGGATAATGTGAGGGAAGTTTGAAGGAATTGGGCAAACTGGAGGAAAATGTGAAGGAAGTGGAAAGGAATTATGAGGGAAAAAGAAAAGTGGAAATGGAAATGTGAAGGAAATACACCAAGGAATGTGAAGAAAAGCAGTGAAGGAAATGACGGAAATGTGGGAGACAATATGTGGGAATAATAAAATAAGAAGGAAAGAAACAAGAGAAATGTGAAGGAAATGACAGAAAAATGTTAAGGCAGCAATATAAATGTGAGGGAAATGAAGGGATGAGGCAAATGTGAAGGAAAGAAATGTGAGTGAAATGCAATGGGAAGATACGAGGGAAATGATGAAAACATGAGAGGAATGTGAGGGAAATGATAATGTGAGAAAATAAAGAGAATTATAAGGAAGATGTGAGGGAAAATAGGTTCAGTGAGGTGCTGGTACCAGAATGGATGTGCAAGGCTTTGCACTGGCCATGCAGGCTGAGGGCAGCGACTCACAAGCAGGCTCTTTCAGACCCATCTATCTCTGTGTTTCAGAGAGCCATCTCCAGTGTCCCAGGAAGGGACTGGACGTCAGGATTGCAAGCAGTGGGTTTCTGCACACAGCCATTGTTTTCCAAAGAGAGCAGATCCACACATACCTCCCAAGGAGAACTGACTTGGCATGGGCCATGCAGGTAGTTCTGCCTTTGGGGAAGACCACACAGCAGCAGGCACCGTTCAAGTGCTGAACAGCAATCTCTCTCTGTGGGCACAGGGAGAGGCAGTGTTTCTGACATGTTTTTCCCTGGTTCCCAGCCATGAAGCCTTGTGTGACCCCAGCCGTGCCAGGTGGTATCTCTGTGCTCCGTCTGGTCAGCAGAGATAAAAATACCCAGTTTTTCACAGTTGTGCTGGGCTAGATTGCCTTTCTCCAGTGGGCTGCATAACCCCCCAAAAAATCTCACAGGGTAGGTGCTATAAAAAGAGGCAGCATCACATAGTGCCTTGTCACTGTTTATTATTGAATCTGGCATTTTGCAGGGGACAGAGTATGCACTAGTGCCTTTGTCACGTGGTCACAAACAGACCTTTTGCAAACAGCAAATGGTGTTCAAGAGTGCTCTGGGCAGGTCAGGGACGTGGAGCTGCAGCTCCCAGGTAGCCCCGTCCCTTGCAGGGTGTCTCTCTTGGACACTCACAGGGTAGATACAGACACCAAGATGGTTCCCAGGATGCTAGGATACTGCAGGAGTTCAGCATCCTTCAGATCTTGCAGCTCAGCTTGCCCACAACCTGTGGGCTTTCTCCAGACCTCTCCATTTCCGATATCAGACGTGCTGAGCCTGGTACAGCTTAGGGATGGGGGAGGCGAGCTGGGCTTATTGTTTGCAGCCGTTTGGGGAGCGCAAGGGACTCTGGTTGGCTTGGTAACAGGCTGCAGCCTGGCCCAGAGGAGAGCCAGCTGATCCCATATCCTCCACTGCTATTCACTGCTGATGTGAGGAGACTGTGCAGCCTCCGGAGGACTCCAGGGCCACCTTCTGCCCTCCACAGCAATAATCTTCTGCTTCCTCTTACCCTGGGGAATCATTTCTACCTGGGTGACGCAGTTCATTCTCATGTGGTAACATTATTCACCCTCTTTGCCTGGAGGAAAATGACCTGTGCCCTGAGGGAGGGGGATACTCAGTCTCACAATATACAGCATAGGTGTGATGAGTTTCATCAGCTCTTATGGGCAGGAGTCATTGCAGCACTTTGTGCAGCACCTGGCACGACAGGATCCTACTTCCTGCTTGTGCTTCCACCATCTTTATGCAGCACAAACAATAATACCTTGTACAGGCAGTGGCACGTGCAGAAAATGAGATGTTTATTTTCTGCTGGAGCACATAAAGCATAATGATAGCCACAGTGTCAGGGACTTCAGTTCAGGGTAAGACAGGTAGATGTCCCTGGGGACCCAAGCAGATAAGGTGTTTGATCTCTCTGGAAACCTTTCACGGTACCAGTTTGCAGCTTCAGATATACAAGCAGTGCCATATATCAGCCCTGTGTGTTTTGTAGCATCACAGCTGCTCCCAGTGAGTTCGCTGCCCAGTGTCCTCCCCAGACAGTTATGCAAACCCCTGCAAACACTCCTCTTATGCCAGGGCTCTGTTCTTTTCTTAGAACCCATGGGCACCCAGGGGATGGAGAGGGTGCTTGGTAGTGCAAAATGACAGCTGCTCTGCTCCAGGAAGGCAGGAGGGGCAACACCTGCATTTGGGGACCCTGCCAAAACCTTTTGTTCCATCCAAGAGCATCACGCGGGCAGCCTGCTGTCCCCGAGCACTGCCCTGCCCTGAGATGGCCAGGTCAGGAGTGCATCGCAGTGACACATGTGGGTGCATGCTAGGCTGGGGAGATATTTGGGTTGGGCACATTCATTCCCTTATGCCAAGCTACTAGTAAACAAAGTCAGCTCCCTAATTATCCTACTTATTTGGAATGGCAAAGGCCTGGGCATTAATCATCCTGTCCTACATAAGTATAAATAGCACTGGCTTTGTTTAGCTCCGGACTTACCAGCTGGACATTTGCCAGGCTGGTGCCACCTCACGTGTCAAGTGACAGTGGCTTGGTTGGTTATCTCACATCCTCTCCCATTATGTGTCTCCAGGACCCTCTGTGCCAGACAGTGGCTGGCTGCCCAGCTCTGCCTGTGTCCTGGCAGAGAAGGGTCACAGAGCAGTGGTGTGTCCCCAGGGGTGACCGTCACCCCAGGGGCTCAGTGTCCTATCCAGCTGGTGACATGAGTCCTCGCCGACATGTAAGTAAGTCTATGAACCCCAAGGAGCTGAGAAAGATGCCTGGGTGCTAGGATTTTGCTTTGTCAGAGCTTTGCAACTTCCTCGGGGCCACACTTGGATGCGGATCCAACCCTTTGCCAGAGATGACCTTTCTCTCCGGGACGGAGAGGTTACCCAGGTGTCACAATCTGTTTTTTCCTCCCGTTGCTAGGGAGGGCCCTGCACCCCGGGTGCGCAGCCCTGCAGCCACCCGAGCATCCCCGCCGCGGGTGTCGGCGTGCCCCGAGCCGTGAGCGCCTCCTCGCTGCCCTCTCCTGGCCCCTGCCGATGCTGCAGAGGTCGGAGCCTCCGCACTGCCCTATGCCCCTTCTCCTTTGTGTAGTGCTTCAGGGTACGGTCACTGTCGCTTAAGCTGAAGGCTGCCCGGAGCCCTAGGGGATGACGCCTTCCACCTGAACATCGCACAGGGTGAATCTCACTGCATCACAAACAGAGTCATTTAGAAATGCCTTTAAATTTTCTTGCGCGTATATATATCAAGGAAGGCAGGTTGACTTCCTGCTCACAATGTGCCAGTTAATCTCCAGGCATTAATGAAACTTCACCTTTTGGCAAGGACTGTCAGTCACAGCAGCTCCCCTCACACTCGCAGCAGACACACTCTTGTTGCCTTCTCCTCCTACCCAGCACAGGGTTGATGTCAGGCAATTGTTGCCTTTCAAACACTATTGATTCCTTTTTTACAACAAATTCCAGTGATAAACATTTATAAACAGTGATGGGATCTTCTCTGTGCAGTGAAGAATGCCAACACAGAAATGTGGTTCTCCTTTGGTCCCAGCCTTTTTCCTTGGCACTATACCAATCAGCACTTTGCTAATTACTGATAATTTTGCTGGTTATGCCCAGAGCTGCACGTGTCAATTTGTGTTAATGACAAAACTGGTCTGTGTTGTCCAAAAAAAAAAAAAAAAAAAAAAAAAAAAAAAGAGATTTAAAACATTAACACATACCTGTTAAAAGTATTCACTGGTATGAAATTTTAGCCCTGCTCTTTGCAAAAGTTACAAAGTTTCTGACCCAATCTTCACCGTGGAGCCCTGGGTTCCCACCTTCTCCTTGTACTGTCTGGGAAAGGTACCCACAGGAAGCACGACTGCTGCTTCAGTTCATTATGAGGGGATCTGTGCTGCCTCGGGGAATTTTAAGACTCCAACTACCGAGGAAAGTTGAAAACTGCTGTTCTACTTGGTCTGAAAAATGATTTAGATCTCCATAGGCACCTGGTGCTTTTTCATTTTATTCTTGCAAGAGCTTAATTACACAAGTGATTCTAGTAACTGTTAACACTGAAGCTGACAAGAATAAAATACTGCATTGCAATCACCTTGCTCCATGAAGTTAAGCACATGCTTAAGGGATTTACAGGAGCAGGGCCTCCCTGCACACTCATTCATTTCCAGACAGAGGAATTCTTCCCTGCACATCCATGGGTGCTTGACTGACTCCAGTTCAGCTGATTGCTTAGACCCATAGATGTGACTGAGCAGCCAGGGACAGCAGCCACGAATACTCAGCCTCCACAATAACTCACAGCAGTCTCCCTTCTATCTGATAGCACCACGCAGAGCCTGATGTTTAAATGATCCCCCATGCAGCCCCACGGCCCTGACACAAGCAACACCTTAGCCCTTGTTTGCTGTACCAAAATGCTACTAGAGTGCTGGTACCCCTGCCTCCCTCTTGCTCCATTGCTCCCTGACCCATGCAGGGCTGGGCGGATATCCCTGGGAAAAAAAACCAAAAACTCTATCACCTGAGACCTGTGGAGATGCTGCAGTGGAAGAAGGGAAACCCAGGAGATTTCTCCATGCTCCGCTTCTGCTCTCCTCCCTGGGGGCTGATTTTGGCTGCCTGCACACCCATTAAAGACCTGCACCATCAGCATGGGCTGAGATGCCCCTCAGATCACAGAGGTTTGTTCAGCCACCGAAAAGCTGTGCAAGCTGGAGATAATCCAGAGCAAAAAGGCTTTGCAAATAATAGAGGTAGTGCAAATACCACCTGGCTGAGCTCTGCGGCACTTAGTCAGGAACCAAAATCCTTCAGACTGATTAACACATCTTGCCCTCAAGCACTTTGCCTTCGACCCTACTTTTAAGTTCATATTTGTTGAAATATTCCTCCTCGCAAAGCACCTGCAGCTGAGATTCACTCCTGCACTGAATCTCTCATACTTGCTCCTGTTGCACGTGCTCTGTCACCTGGCAATGCCCCTTCCGCTGAACTGTGCTGAGAAATTCATTTGCCATGTGCATCTGCCAAACCATTCAGCGGCAGCACGTAGCATGACTTGCAGTGGTCAAGGTGCAAACTGATGGACAAAGAACAGGGCATCCTGCATTTTTAATAGTGTCAGAATACATGTTTGTGGCTCTGAATGCAGACCGCCGTACACCAGCCTGTTTCAGCCCTCTGAAACAGAGATAGGCAACAGGAGGGAGCACGCCTGCAAAGCCCCGGCACATAGCCACTGCTACTGCTCCCAGCCACCACCACAAGCAGGGACACTTCATCACTGTGTGGCTGTAGCCATTGTGGTTCCAATTCAATCCTGTAATTATTTCACCAAGGGGAGATGAACAACCAAGTGGAGAAAGTAAGTTGGCCTCGAAAGCTTCTGAGTCCTCAACAATTAAAGTCAGAGATCTGCAGGCAGTTTCAGGCCATTTCCAGAAGATGGTCTGTGTTCTCCAGAGCCCTGTTCCAGCCACGGTAGCAGCAGGCCTATTGACATGGGAGCTGCCTTCATTCGGGAACAAGAGCTTGGCTCAAAGAGCAAAACAAACAGGAAAGCTCTGGGAGCACCCTGTGAAGGTTTCCATGATCACGCATAGCAAACTGATCCCAGAAAGTGAGGCAGCCAGATTTAATAGCGGGCAGCACGGGTCAGACTCAGCCCTGCAGAACATCAAGGCACGTGCTCACACCCAGCAGGACTCCAGCAGGTGTTGGGGTGGACTGTGGCCATGGGACAGTCAGCCTCCCCTGCTCCCCTTTCACAGGCTCACATGCTTCTCACCAGCAGAGGAATCTGTATGCAAAACATCCACTTGATTAAATGCAGCTGCAGCCAGTGTTACAGGGAACTGGGAGGCGTAATAGATGGCTTTATCCTGAAAAAAAAAAGCAGTGGAACACAGAGCTGCACTGACAGCCCAAAGGCCACAAAAGTGGACAAACCAGAAAGACCAAAGCGTGACAGCTTTATCACAAGTCATAGCAGAGTAACCAATTTCTATCTTTACCTCATGCAGAAAGCAGGTAATCCAGCACAGCCCTGGTGGAGAGCACAGCTCTCTGCACATCCCTCAGCCACTGGGCTCTCTGCCGGGAACGGGCCCAACACAGACCAACACGGGGTGTGCGCAGGTATCTCTGCAACAGCCATCAGCTTTCTGATGTAAAGATGCATTCCTGACTCAGACTGTTAGTCTGGATTAACGCTGGCCAGCTAGGAACGAACTTCTCTGAGTCATCCCCTAGAGACATCGGGGCCCCTAAAATAGCAACAACAACAGAATACACAGAAAGACTGGAATATTTTCACCGCAGGCTGTGATCACAACATTTTACATAAGTCTGGTGAACAGCCAACCAACACAAACTGGAATAAGGATTCACTGCAAGCCACGGCACTCCTTGTCAGGGCACCCACTGCTCTGACGTGCCCCCATTAAGCCCCGTTTGGGCCTTGCTTACGAGCCCACCTTCCAGGAACTCCACTGAGTTCCACCCTGGGGAGCTGCCTCCTTTCGGAGCTGTGCCGCAGGGGGATGCACTCCCAGGCTGCCCAAGGCTGACACTGGACTTCAGCTGGACCCTCACTTTTATGCAGTGACCACCGGGCTGCAGACCGCCGTGCTCTGCCCTGCTGGCCCTGGCGTTGCTGCCTGCTTTGTGCCCACCCCTGGGTTTTGGTTCAGCTTCCCCCGGCCGTACAGGCAGCCCGCGGTGCCCCACGTGGTTGCGGAGGGCTGCACCGCTAGACATGGGCTGAGCTCCCCCCAGACCTCCCTACTACCCCCACCGCCGAACCCCATCCCCCCAACCGGGGGACGGTCCCTCGAATGACGCCGGGGCAGGCGGGACCGGAGGCCGACCAGCTCCCCGTTACGGCACTCAGCCCCGTCCCCCCGTGCCGGGCGTGCTCCCGAGGCCGCACCCCGCGGGGCGGGCGCAGCGGCTCGGCCCTCCCCTCGGCACGGACATGGCACCCGTTGCCATAGCGGCGCGGGCGCTGCTGCTCCTGGCCGCGGTGGGTCCGGCGGCCGCGCTATGGCCGCAGCCGCAGCTGCAGCGCTCCCCGCCGGCCCCCGCCCGCTGCCCGCTGCCCCCCGCCCGCTTCCGCTTCGCGCACGCCGCCGGCTCCGCCGTGGGGCCGGGCTGCGCCGTGCTGGACGAGGCCTTCCAGCGATACTGGGCGCTGATCTTCGCCGCGGCGCGGCCCGCAGGTGAGGGGCGGTAGGGGTGTGCGCCTGGGGAGGGCTCGGTCCCCAAAGATGAACCATTCTCTCGCTGCTTCCCTAGAAGCCGTGCCTTCGTGGAGAAGGACTTCTGCCTTCTTACAGCGGGACCTTTAAACTCCGCACCGCAATAAAGCAAAGGTCTCTGTCCTGGAGCGTGGGGTGTGGTGGGAGCTCGGCTTCAGGGCTGGCCGGGCCCGATCTGAACCCCGCGTGGAGTTCTGCTCCCGAAGGGCAGCACGAGCTGACCCAGCGCTGCGGCAGAAACCTCTGCCATTGCAGCTCGTTCCACTTCCATTCGTTGGTTGCTGTCCTGATCTGCTCATGGTGTCACCACAGCCTGTCCAGGACTGTCAGGGCACGTTGCCGGCTCAGGTGGAATCCCCTGTGTTGCTTTTTTCCCCTTCCTTTCTTTAGTTCAGCTGGGGCTGGGGCTGAGGGAAGTGTAGGCTGTGGTCTTGTGGCACAGCTGCTTGAGCTGAGTCTCCCAGCAAAGGCTGGTGCTGCTTTGCTACGTGCAGAGGAGTGCCTGCTGTGCTCGTGTGTTTCAAATAGTAAAAGTGGAACCAAACCAGCCATGTGAGGCTCAGTGAGCATCAGCCTGCGTACATTTCTTTCAGGGGGGTTTTCAGTCAAGTTGGTCTATTTATCTCAGCTTTATCTCCTCCGGATCTCACTTCAGTTCAGCAGCATTGCAGTTTGCTTCCTTTTCTCACTTGTGACAGAGCTGCTGTCTGTGTTGCAACTGCCCCAGCACCTCTCTAAAGTCTGAGCTCATCCTGTTTCTAGCAGCTCTTTGTGTGCCCAGTGCTCCACTCTTCAGAAAGAGCCATAGATCTTCACGTGGATCAGAGCAGAGAGGGATGACAGCACTGGAAGTTGCTCTGCTTTGTTTCCAGTGCCTTGTGGCAAAAGTGAGTTTGAAACACTCAGAAGAAACACTTGGCTTATTTGATTCTTTTAAGTAGCAAGTTACAAAAACCACATAGTTTCTTAAATTTGCTGCTGTAATTACTCACGTTTTCCTGTTTTTGTCAGGGAAATTTGACCATCCCATGACTTGGAGAGATCTCTTGTGATTGTCACACCAGGCTCTCTATGTATACTCACAGTTTTCCATGTGCTCTCCTATAGAATCATAGAACATAGAATGGCCTGGGTTGAAAAGGATCACAATGATCATCTAGTTTCAACCCCCCTGCTATGTGCAGGGTCACCAAGTTCACGCTGCATGCTTAGTTTTAGGGGCTTTTTCCTCTTTGCCTTCCTTTTTCCACAAGTGATTAGTAATAACAGGCAGTGGAAACCCTGACTGGAAAGAAATAGTTTCTATTAATAGAAATAGTATATGACAGAAACAGTTTTCTTCCTGTTTTAGAGAGCCACTATTCTGTTCAATTGAACAGACAAGCCCGCCAACTGAGAGAGAACTAAGGAGACATCAGCATCTTCTCCTGAGCCGTTTTCAGAGTGTGCCAGGGCAGCACTGGTCTATCAGCTGGACTTTCAGGAGAACAAGTTTAAGGTCCTCTTGAAACCCTCCAAATGCTTTGGTGCCATTCTCTTTACCTCTGTGGACCTGTGCAAGCTGATCGGCTTTGTAGCAGCCCCTCCTGAGAGCCATGGAGAGCAGGAGGCACCGCATTTGTGGGTTGTGACCTGACAGTGTCCTTCTCAATGCATTTTTCTACCTCTCCTTGGGCAGGGATAGCAATTACTGCCCCAGGTGGGATGATGCTAGGAACATCTGTTACCGTATCGCACTTGAGGGAACAGTTGCTAGGGTTTGAAAGTATTTTGGAGATTTGTAGATGATGTCCTAGTTCTGCTGGGCTTTAGGCATGAAAGCAGAAGTGGGATTATGTGGTCAGCTCTCTTCCCTAAAGCAGCAGTAAAACCAAAGTCTTCATCTGGGCAGAGGTGAGAGGGGTGTGCTGGGAAGTGCTCATCCCAGGAAGGGGGAAGATAGGTGTTCCTCTTGTCTCCAGGCCTGTGAGTGGCCGTTCCTGGTGAGCCTCTGTCTTGCCAGGCGTAGAGAGCAGGTCTTGCTGTGCTCCATGTGCCAGCTCACACACGGCTGCAGGGTTGCCTTGGCTACCAGCTCGTCTGTAACTGAGGAAACCTCAGAATGGAGGAATATCTTAGAGCCATTTCTCTGCACACAGAGGCTTCACCATTCTTTCCTTGAACCCCATTTGGGGTTCTGTGCTCTCTGTGTTTCTCCCTAATACTGGTGGTGCCACAGTCTCTCTGAAGCCTGCTTGGTGGCCATCTTATGATGAGGCTCACTCAAAACCAAGCATTCTGTTTTTCAGCCTGTCCCTGGCAATGCCACAGAGCTATAGATGTGAACTGCTGCTGCTGTGACCCACGTTGCTCCTGGCCAGAGAAGCTATGGGCAGACCCACTTATCTCAGAGTGGGTTTAACACCTCCCTTTGGAGTCAAACATTTCCCATGTGTTCCCAATGAATATTTCAGGGCTTGAAAATGCTTCTTCAGATAGGGAAGGGCAGCCACAGCTCCTGCTTCATCCTCCCTGGAGAAGACTTTAGTAGTTTCAGCTGGTGTCCAGGAAGCCTTGGGAGATGTTGCAGTACCAGCCTGATGTCCCCATTGCTGGCTGGGCTGGGAGGCTTGCAGCAGGGAAATTAATGCCTGTGGTCTGTGTGCCTTGCAGAGAACAAGCAGCCCTGGAGGACATCCTGCACTGAACTCCTCATCTCAGTCGCCACACCAGGCTGCAATGGCTTTCCCAACCTGGACTCCAAGGAGAGCTGTAAGAATGGGTGCGGGAAGAAGTGACTGGAACAGGAGTATGGGTATTTCTATGCTCCTTGGTTGGAAATAGCTCCCTACAGCACTTAATCCTAATTCTGGAGAGGCAGGATCCTCATTGTGTGGTTGAGAAACTGGGACAAGGAGGGAGCAACTTAGCTGAGGGTGCTGATAAAGCAGTGGGAAAGGTTTAAAAAAAACCCACAGCCCTACCCTGAGATCAATTCCCTTGGATCCAAGGATGCAGTTCCCCACCAAAATCACTGTCTGATCCAGCTGCAACCCTGCAGCTAAGGTTTTGAGCCCCGTAGCAGAATGTGAACGACGTAATGTCTGTGCCATCTGATGTGATGCTGTGTTTCAGATAAACTGAATATCTCAAGAGACTCCATGCTGCTCTATGCCGATGCTGTCTGGGGAGCTCTTAGAGGTGAGGTGTGCTTAGAGCTTTCTGCTGGTCATTCCCACCCTGCCTGTATATCAGGACATCTCTTTGTGCCTCTCTTTCCCAAAGATTTATTTAATTGAGCTCTGTTCAGAATCTATGCTGCAAAAGTGATTGTGTGTGATTCTCCTCCAGGTCTGGAGACATTCAGCCAGCTTGTTGGGAGAGATGAGAACGGCATGGTGAGTGGGTGGCTCAAATGTGGGCTGGCCAATGTGGTTCCCGTGGCAATGCAAGTCTGTCTTGGCTCCTGAGGACAAGCTATGCTTGGGGCCAATGAGTCCTGCTAGCCCTGGGGATGAAGATGACTCTGACTGCCTCCTGCTGATGTCTATGTTACCTGCAGACCTGCTCACTTCTTCCCTGTCTTCTCTCTTCGTGCAGTACTATATCAATGAGACAGAAATTGTGGACTTTCCCCGCTTCCCTCACCGAGGCCTGTTGCTGGACACCTCTCGCCACTACCTGCCTCTGAAAGCCATCTTGGAAACTCTGGTAGGAAACCTGTACTGGGAGGCATGTGTGCTGCCCCACAGGGAGATGGAGCACTTCAATCAGGTGTCCCCCTGTGATAAATGAGTATCCCTGAGTTGCCTTCCTGTTTTCTTATTTTTTTGTGTGTGTTGCTCATTTCTAAAGATCTGAGCATAGGTCATCGTAATCACATCTCGTCAAGGAAGAGCTTTCCAAATCTAGGTGTTTGGAGAATGCATGCTTGCTTGTGTCTAGATGAAGCAACAGGCTGGGGTGAGATAGCTGCATGACCTCAATTCTTTGTACACAGATTTGATTCACAGAAAAATGTTTCTGTGCTGTTGGTCCTCTCTAATGCAGTATCTGCGCCCAGCACTGTTAGCTCCTGGTGTCACTCACAGCTCCCTTTCTAGATGGGAGAAGGAAACCCTGAGGTATCGCAGATTCCTGCAGCCCAGCTTACATTCTGAGGCAAGGGAGAGCACTGCCTTTTGCCTAGTTGCATTAGATGAAAGTGGGTGGTGGTCCTGCATCTGTTCCAGCCAGAATTAAACTTCCAAATCTCAACCCTTGGCTCTAGTATAAGGAGAATAGGGACTTTACTGTGATTGGAACCACTAATGGCCCTTTGCAGCTCTTTGTGATGTCAATGTGTTTGACAGATCCCTGCATCACTCTTAGGTCCGTGGAAGCATTTGGAGATATTATGTTATCCAGAACACAAGGACCTGAAATCACTTGATTCCTCAAGCTGACTGACCTTTCAAAAGGAGCAGGGTGTGCTTACCCATGTTTCTGTTCCTTCCCAGGATGTCATGGCTTACAACAAGTTAAATGTGTTTCACTGGCACATTGTAGACGATCCATCATTCCCATATGAGAGCTTTACTTTCCCGGAGCTTAGCAGGCAGGTAACCCATGCTGATGGTTGTGCAGCTCCCCAGACAACCCAAGGAATGCTGGCTGCTCCTTGAGCTTGTGAGCGAGATGCTGTAATTCCTCATGTTCCTCCAGGGAGCCTTCAATGCCATGAGCCATGTGTACACAGCCAGTGACGTGCAGACAGTAATCGAGTATGCTCGTCTCCGTGGCATCAGAGTCATTGCAGAGTTTGACACACCTGGGCACACACTTTCCTGGGGTCCAGGTGAGGAACAGACCCTCACCAGAGGACATGGGTGTGAGGAGGGCTGTAATTGTACCTGGTGGAGGAAGGATCTCTGTGATCTGGATCACAAAAGTGTGGCATGAGCAGTGGCATCCCATAAGCTGTCTCTGGGGAGGAGCAAGCCATCAACTGGGATGTAGGACATAAGAGAGATGGCCACATTTAGCTCCCTTCTCACTCTGCTGGTTTTATTATGATGCAGGTGCTCCAGGCCTCCTGACTCCATGCTATTTGGGCAAGGATCCTTCTGGGACCTATGGGCCCATCAACCCCATCTTCAACACCACCTATCAGTTTGTGACCAGTTTGTTTCAGGAGATCAGCTCAGTGTTCCCAGACTACTTTATTCACCTTGGTGGCGATGAGGTGGACTTCACGTGCTGGTGAGTGATTCCTGCAGAGATGAGTCAGGCTGGAAACTGGGGTTTGAAACAGTGCTCTGCTGCCTGGCCACTTAGCATGTGCTTGTGATGGGTACCTTAAGGAGCAGCCATCTAAGTGGCAGGAAGAGGCAGGGGGAAAGTGGAGGGTTATTCCTGTGCAGTGCAGGAGAGAGTGAGAGGGAAGGAAATCTAGCACAGGATCCCCACACCCCAGCCAGTTGCTTCTTGGCCATGATCACCTACAAATCTTGGGTGTCCTGCCCCCCTGGGCTCTGAAAGAGGCTCTGTGAGTTGGTGCTTGGGGTTTCTATTCTCTTCTCTCTGGTACACAGGAAGTCCAATCCAGACATTCTTGTCTTCATGAAGAAGATGGGCTTTGGTGAAGATTACACAAAATTAGAATCATACTACATCCAGAGGTAAGGGTGGCTGCATCCTGAGCCTGCATCTGCAGTATGTGACAGGCACAAATGTATTCTACTGTCCCTTTGGCCCGACCTTGCTATCCCTAAAGAGAGTTGCCTAGTTTTCTTTTTCAGAAGACTGACTGCAAAAAGACCTGGAGTTGAGGGAGAAAAGAGTTCTGTGAGGGGGATGTTAGCTATATCAGTGCTGCTGCTTTGGTTGATCCAGAAAAGAGGGCTGAGAGGACCCTAAACTCTGTATTGTTTCCATTCCAGACTTCTGGACATCGTCTCTTCCCTTGGCAAGGGCTATATGGTGTGGCAGGAGGTTTTTGACAATGGAGTGAAGGTGAGAGCTGCTCACATGCCCTAGCACAGTTCCCTAACACTTGGGTGAACAGTGTCAGCACCCACACCAAACTCACTCAAGTGAGTCTTGACCTGGCTCAAAATCCAGTTTGCTTGGAGGGAATAGATGAGTCAGGATAGGCAAGCAGGTGTAGTTCTAGCTTCCACTGTTATAACTGGTCGTGGCTTGTTTCTGGTGCAGAACCCTGCTCACCAGAGTGGTGTTTGGAGCTGGGATGGCTTGGGGGAACCCTTCTTGTGAGGGGAGGTGGTGTTCTGTTGCTGCACTGATGCTGTACACAGGCTTTATGTGTATTTGTGGGACCAGGTGAGGCCAGACACGATCATCCACGTGTGGAAAAACAAGCCGCCGTATGCGGAGGAGATGGCAAATGTCACCAAGGCTGGCTACAGGGCTCTGCTCTCTGCCCCCTGGTACCTCAACCGCATCTCCTACGGGCAAGACTGGATGGCAGCCTACCAGGTGGAGCCCTTGAAGTTCAATGGTGTGTTCCTTATGTCATATCCCCTCTTGGCTGCTGACTGCTCACTCAGAGGTGGTGCCAGGGCTGGCCTTGATCATTTATTCTCGCTGATGGTGTGAAGGTGCTTGAGTCAGTGTGCCCTTGGCTCCTGGGCTTTGTGCTATTGCCTCGCTGCAGGCAGGGAAAACCTCAGCTCTCACCCTGCCTAGGGTTTGAGTCGGGGATTTGTCCAGAAGGACAAATGACAGCTTCTACAGCTCAGCCAGCTCTCGGTTGTCACCGTCCCCTCCCTGGGCAGGGCAGGAAGATGCTGTTGTCTTACAACACCTGATCACCTGAATGCTGTGTCCCCTGGCAGGCAGCACTAAGCAGAAGGATCTGGTGATTGGCGGGGAGGCATGCATGTGGGGTGAATACGTGGACGTCACCAACTTGACCCCCAGGCTCTGGTAAGAGATGTTTAGGGGGGGTTAGCTTGACTCCTTCAGCACAGCATGATGTGCATCCAATGCTGCTGGTTTGGTCTCAAGGTACTCTGTCCTCTGGTAGCATATTTGTGTAGTAACAGCTTCTCTGAGGCTTAAGTGAGATTCCGTGGCTGTCTGTAAGAATGAAACACACTCTTATGCCACCTGCCACTGCTACCAGCTTGCGTTTAATGCTGGTCTCTGTCCTGTCATTTGGTCTGCACCTGACTAGGCATGTATCTTTTGATGTACGGAAGCCATGTGCTTTTATGTGTCAAAGGACTTTGGTCAGGGAGGTGTTTGAGAGCTCAGCGCTGCAGGAGAAGCTTTCTCTGACCTACCTGCCTTTGTCCCATGTTCCTTCAAGGCCGAGAGCCGGGGCTGTGGCTGAGAGACTTTGGAGTAATGCAACAGTGAGGAACCTGCAAGATGCTTATGTGCGGTTGGCTGACTTCCGCTGCGAGCTTCTCAGGTAACTGTCCCTCCTTGCCAGGCCTTGCTAACTTGTGATGTCAGTGCAAGGGACAGCCTCAGGTGATCAGCTCTCCATGGGTAGAAGAGTGAGGGGGATTGAAAGTGAGGTAAGCTTTTGTTTGTGTGAGAAGACACTTGAAGGTCCACAGTATTTCTTGAGCCTGTGTGCAAAGCTTGCTGTGTGCTGTGCTGGAAGAGAGCCCATGCTGTTGGCATGGGCTGGTAGCTCTGCAGAAGCAAGAGTTTTGTGCTGAGAAAGTGGCACCCATCAGCTCCTGCCACCCCCCTACTGAACAGCACCAGGCACTGTTCAGTGTCCCCTGTGTAATGCTGTCCCTCTGCTCCACTTCCAGGCGAGGTGTCCAGGCAGAGCCTCTCTTCATAGGATACTGTGATCATGAATTCGGTGGGTTTTGAAAGGAGAATCCCACTGCTCTCAGTCTCTGTGCACACCAGAGGAATGATCTCTTGCTCTCTCAAAAGCTGCTGGCATGGTAAAGGGACCCCTTTCCTCCCCCTGCTTTTGCATTGTTGCAATGAACGTTTTTTTCCTTAGCGTGCACTCTTTGCCTCTTTTTCTATTTTGGTTTCTTTAAATCTATAAATAAATGACCTCAAAGAGAAAAAGGTGCCTTTTCATACTCAGCTGGGGCTTGGGAACACCACACCAGGGCTTTTTGTTAGCAGGAGATGGATAGGTCCCGCTCTGGGGCAGGCTGGTTCAGGAGATGTTGGTGGAGGAGCATCTGGCTACGCCTCACCCTGCTGCCTCTGGAGCTTACTGGATGCCTGCTCAGCTGGATAAGCTGTGCTTAGTCTCTGCCAATATCCCAGATTTCATCTCTGCTAAGATAATGTGGTGTCCAGTTGTACAGCAGTGTGTGCAGCAGAGAATCCTATGTGTAACTGGCCTGCTAGCACCAGGATGTCACTGCCACCTTGGTTTTGCTTCTGTGGTCTCCCGTGCACCAACACTGCTGTGTCACCTCTTGCTTCCTGTCCTTTCTGTCTCATCTCTCTGTACCTCAGCTGTGTCTAAGCAGGAGGCCTGTCTCCAAGCCACCGTCTCTGCTGCCCCAAAACCTGTCTGCTCCTACTCGAAGCCTCTCACAGACCTCACAGCCCTGCTGAGCTGGGTGCATGGATGTCATGGAGTCCCAGCTCAGCTCTTCAGTCGGCTGTGGTCTCTGCTAAGGACTTGGCCAAATTATCTGTCCTGCTGCTGCTCTGTAGTCCTTGGAGAAGCTCATCTCTGGTTCTCCTGCAGCCAAGTGGTTTGGTTTGGACACATTTCCTTGGAGAAGAGGCTGCTGTTGCCATGTTGAGGAGCAGGGACAATCGTGGTTCTGGTACTTTGATGGTTAGGGTTGCCCTGCTGGAAATCCCATCTAGTTTGAGTGTGAGGAGAAATCTCTGGGAGAAATCCTGGAAGCCAGGACTCTTGTGTATTCGTCCTGGTCTGAAATGAGTGAGATCTGCTGTTTGCTCTCTGTTGTGGCTGGAAACTTATTATTGTGAATTTGGAATTAAAATAATTCCTAAATTGTCAAGCCTTGTGTTTCTCACTCTCCTGTGAAAGAGTACTTGGGTAGTTCTTGTCTGATGTGATGCAACCCCCTGAGTTCTAGGGGGAAAAGAGAAGATGCTGGAGCCCTCCCACCTGATGTTTAGCTGCTGGCCAGATCTGGGGGAAAGATGGGTATTTTTGCTGACTCCTGAGAGCCCGTGTGCTGTTTCCTGAGTGAAGATGCTCTTCTGCTTCCTCAGAGTCTCTTGGGAAGCTCACATCCCTTTTTTCTGTGGGTTGTTTTGTTTTTTTTTTTCTTTTTCTGTTTGTTTTTTTGATCATAAATTCTGCCCAGGCCCAATGGTTCAGGTGGGACATTGAAGGCAAGCCAGGATCGCCTGTCACTCCCGGCACGTTTGTTTCTCTTAACTTGAGTAACACAAGAGTCATAAATAATAATAGCTTGACGTGCTGTCAAGTCCCAGAGAGCTCCGGGAGGAGGCTGTAAGACAGCTCCTTCTTCCCTACGAGGCTTCGCAGGCGATCTGCGGCAGCTTTGCCCCGAGGCCGGGAGCCCGCAGGGCAGCGGGCGGGGTCCCTTTGGGGCGGGGTCCCTTTGGGGCCGGGGCGCCCATCTGTCGGGGTGCCGCCGGTCCCCCCGTTTCCCCGCCGCGTCCTTGCGGCTTCCTTCGAGAACATCTATTTTTACCCGGGATTTGTCATGTAAAACTTGCCGGGGAGAACACGGGAACATGCAGCGTGTGAATCACTCGGGGCCAACGGGTTTAAAAATAAACCCGAGCGGTGCCGGAGAGCGGCAGCTGCCTCTGCCCGGCCCCCCAAAAACGCCCGGCACAAACACGGGGCAGCCGCGGGGCGAAGCCGAGAGCGGGGCCGGCACCGGAGGAGGGTGGGAAACAAATAGCGGCGCGGCTGTTTATGCCAGAACGCGTCCAAAATGAGATTAAAAACGCGATTACCGCCGGCCCGGGGGGGGCTGACGGGTTCGGCGGCGCGCGGGGACGCTCGCAGCACGGCCGGCCGCAGCGCGCCGCGGGTGTCAACGCCGAGCCGCCGACGGCCGGAGACCGGGGACCGCCTCCGGGGGGCGGGGGGGCGGGGGGCGGGGCCGGGCCCCCCCGCGGGATTGGCCGCCGCCGCCTCATTATGCTAATGCCTCGCGCCCGGCCGGGGCCGGCCGGCTGACGTCAGCGGGCCGGCGGCGGCGGAGCCGAGCGGGGCCGAGCGCGGCCGGGCCGAGCCGAGCGGCGCCGAGCGGTTCCGAACGGTTCCGAGCGGCGCCGAGCGGGGC